TGGGATATCGAACAGGAGATCCTTCAAGCCGCCGAAAATAATCCATCTCAGCAGCCCTGTCCAGAGAATAAAATCTTTGTTCCCCCGTCACTTCGAGAAAGACTCATCTCCGAGGTACATGACCACCCCAGTTCCGGTCACCCAGGCAGCACAGCCACCGTACAAATGATTCAAACCCGCTACTGGTGGTCATCCATACACAAGGATGTAATCAACTTCATCAACAAATGTTCACCCTGTCAGATGTCCAAACACTCCCGTCACCGTCCAGCTGGATTACTCCAACCCCTGGAGGTGCCACATCGCCCCTGGTCCCACATCGCTATAGATTTCATCACCGATTTACCCATATCTCAGGGCAAAACCACCATCCTCACAGTAGTGGACCGATTTTCAAAATCCTGCCGCCTTATCCCCATCTCCAAACTGCCTACAGCCATGGAAACGGCCGAGTTACTCTGCGAGTGTGTGTTCCGGTACTATGGTCTCCCCGAAGACATCGTGTCGGATAGAGGTCCCCAGTTTACATCCCGACTCTGGTCAGCATTCTTTAAAAACCTCCAAATCAATGTTAGCCTAACATCCGGCTATCATCCCCAATCCAACGGGCAGACAGAGCGCTTGAACCAGGAAATCGGCAGATTCCTCCACACGTATTGTCATTCGAACCAGAACGAATGGGCCAAATTTTTGATGTGGGCAGAATATGCTCAGAACTCCCTCAGAAAGGCATCTACTGGATTAACCCCATTTCAATGCGTGCTGGGCTTCCAACCTGCGCTCTTTCCCTGGTCCGGCGAGACCTCTGAACTCCCTGCGGTGGATACCTGGTTTAAAAACTGCGAAGAGGTCTGGAACGCAGCTCACACTCACCTCTCTCACGCCGTACGGCGTTTCAAGGAACAAGCCGATCGACACAGACGTCCTGGTCCCATGTATTCCCCAGGACAATGGGTGTGGCTTTCCACCCGCGACTTACGCCTCAAGCTGCCCTGCAAGAAGCTCAGTCCCAGGTACGTGGGTCCTTTCCAGATTGAAAGACAAATATCTCCTGTTTCGTTCAGACTGACACTCCCTAATCATTTTCGTATTTCCCCCACTTTCCATGTCTCTCTGCTCAAGCCTGCTGCTGGTCCAGCCGAGACGGATAGGGAGGTGGCAGCCAGTGAACAGGGTCCCCCGCCTCTTATGATCGATGGTGAAGAGGCCTACCAGATCCACGAGATCCTGAGATCCAGACGCCGGGGTGGACAACTCCAATATCTCGTTGATTGGGAGGGGTACGGCCCGGAGGAGAGATCTTGGATTAACCGCAAGGACATCCTCGACACCACACTACTGGAAGAGTTCCACTCACAACATCCGGAGATGCCGGCCCCTCGCCCCCGTGGAAGACCCCGGCGTCGAGAATTGCCTCACTTTAGGAGCCGTTCGTTGGGGGGGGGCTCTGTCACCGACTCGGTCCCAGTCATTCCCCTCGCTGACCAGCAGAGGTCACCATCTCCGGACTTCTAACCATTACGTCATCCATTTCACTCCGATCCCAGCACACTGTGTTCTATTCCCAGTTATCCCATTTATGCCCTAGGTGTAATTTGCTTTTAAAGTTTTTTACTGTCCTGTTTTAGTGATCTTCATATTGACAATTGCGTATCCTTTGCAGTGCACTTTGAAAACATTTATGTTATTTTGAATGCAGCCGTGGCTCATGATGGAAGCTATAGGTGACCTATTATTTAAAGGCTGAATTTACATTACGTCTCCAAAGCTTGTGAAAACAAAAACAAATGGCATATATTAATGATTTTTATTTATAGTAGGTAATTTATTAAGAAATGTATCTGTACTGTATATGACATGGGCCTGTTGGTTAGAACATGTCTGCAGTGGTTTGAATGTGTCAAATAGTAGAAGTAGACTTTAAAAAAAATGAATAAACAATATTCTACTTAATAATAATACTATTGAGTGCATGTTTTTATCAAAACTAATATAGAATTTTTTAATGTGTGTGTGTGTGTAAAACAATATATATTTTGCACAAAAAAAAGTATGGGGATTTTCTCTAAAGAATATCTTATCCACCCCGTTTAGAGCATTATTATGGACATTTTACATTATAACTAACACGGTTCAAACGATGGATCTGCTACAAAGCAACTATGGTTTTGGGAAACATTCATCACTACATCGTTTTTTTTTTTTCCCCACAATTGTGAAACGCCAACGTACTATGATAGTTCAACCACAAGTTATGGTATTGTTTAAGAAACGCACCCCAGAATAGCCTTATACATGCATTTTACCAGCATGGACCATGCCACACTTTGAGCTAGATTTTATTGCAGGGATGTAGGGATGAAAAGGATGGTAAGATAACAAGTGGGATGAAGAGAAACGGAAGTAAGAGGATAAACAATGAACAGATAAATAGGATGATATGGCATGCTATGATGCCCAGAGAAACAGAGTGGGGGTACCATCTCTGTAATATTTTGGTAGAGTGATTGGACACCCCGACTCAATCTAGGAGGGAATATAGGGTTAAAAGGATTGTCAATGGAAAGCAAGAAAATAGAGGGAGGGAGGGAGGGAGGGAGGGAGAAAGGGAGGGAGGGTGGGTATGAGAGAACGAGAAGAACAGTGCTCGAGGCTGGTCTGCCTTAAATAAGTTTTAGGGAGTAGCTGATTGGTTAAGGAGGCATGGTCCTGATGCTAAACCTTTGTTAACAAGTTAATTCCATTTTAGAACTAGAAAAGCACCACTTCTATTATTCCTAAAAATAAAAAATAAGTATTCTAAAGAAGGGAATACACATGGGTATTGCAGAAAAACTCTGAATAAAAAAAGTCAAAATACAAATTATTTAGTCTATCCTGACTGCAGACTATGCAAATGAATATAACTCATAAATGCTGAGAATGAATAGCTTTATATTGCACATCACAGCTTGACTGCTTCACTCACATGGTAAAGATCAATGCAATAGTTCTTGCAATACTTTGATTTGAGGTATTGCTGTAGCTGAATATGTGCTGTCATAAAATATTCAACACTCTGAGCCAGGTTCTACAGGGGGTCTGTGGAGAAGACATAAAACATGGAATTGTCCTACTTTGCCAAGACAATTGTAATTTTAAACTAATGTTCTAACAAGTTATAAACATTTAAATGGATAGTTCAGTCAAAATATTAATTATCTGTTCATTTAATTAAGAGCATGCCACACATATATAGTTTTTCTTCAGTAGAATATTAAAGGAGATGTTTCGCTGAAGCATAAAAAAACACATACGAGGCAAAACAAAATTAATACATGTGGCTCTTGATGATACACTGAGGTCTTACAAAATAAAATGTTCACTCTATGCAAAAAAAGATCATCATTTACAGCTGTATAATCTTCAACTCGCAGCTTTAGCAAACAGACGTGAACACATTCATGGCAGTCTACAGAGCAAACTTCCTGTCACATAATGACATATACTGTTAGTGAGGGCAAACTCGCATGTGAGAAAGAGAGAGATTGTGTGCATATTGTGTGCATGTCTGTGTGTATTGTTCATCAAAATGATAATAGTAAGTAAATATAGGCAAGATTAACTTTTTCCAACATTTGATATACCGTATGCCAACAGATTCTTTGCCCTTCACACTTGCATTGAGCTTCAATTTTTACGATCATTTTCACACATACAAGAAAATATGTAACATGTGTATCTGCCTCCTGAGTCTTTCTAGACCCAGGTATTAATTTTGTGTTGCCAGTAAATGGTATAATTTTTTTTTTCTCAAAGTGCCAGAAGCTGTTGACCTCCATTTTATGAATAGGAGCTTCACAGTGTCAGCTAAAAATGTTCTTTTATATTGCATTGAAGTCAAAAAAATCTTAAATGACCCATGGGTGAGTAAATTTTCAGCAAATGTAAATGATTTAAGTCTCAATGCACTCTAATAATTTATTTTAAATTATTTATTTTATTTATTTATAATTTATTTTTCACAAGATTTCACATACGTTTTGGTTCTTCAAAGAACCTTTCATTGCACAATTTTTCAAGGATCCACATTTGCTTTAGTGCCTAAATAACATTTTAAAAATCTAATCTTAATCTTAAAATCTAACTCAATGTTATTTAATTTAAAAAAAATCTGTAAAAGTTAAAATTCCTCTTTTTTGCTTTAAGCTAAGAGAGTCATTTACATCTTATATCACATGTTTAAGCACGTGAAATCCGTTACGTTTTAATGGTTCACTAAACTTACGATTGTGGATCACATATGGATAACCGTGCCACACACAACATTCCCCAGAGTCCGGAAGCTATAACAATGAGGTGTGACTGAGAAGCGCGCACATTTAATTGACATGAAGGGTCCCTGCTGCGTGTCCACACGCCGAAAATGAACATGTCAGTGATCTGTTCTGCAGCGATCTGATTTGCTGCTTCCCAAATAATTTGGCGCCTCTGGCACAGTAAACACATCAAATATTCAAGACAAGCTAGTCAGCTATCCACCATCCTTTCTAAACACATCTGATTACTAAATCAGGTAATTAAGACAAGTAAATGTATAAATGAATGAAATGAATAATCATTCCAATGCTGATCGTCGATGTACTGTATCATCCGATACCCATCCGCACCGTTACTATGGTCACCACATTAGGAGAGCAACTTCCAGCTCCACTTGTAACTTTGTGGCTAGTTAAACATGCAAAAGCACTCATAAAACAATTCGTGCATGTACTTTTAACAGTCACATTGGAGAGAGTCAACCCCCGTATAATTCGCACCCCTGCACGGATGCGCTTATTCCTCAGATACCTGCTCCGATTACGCACGCGCTCCTAATTCGCCTTCATTTTCCCCAAAATTTTAGTTTTAAATTCAACTGCTTTAATATAACTGTTATAAGGTAACACGTAAACTATTTCTCCTCGCAGACGACTCAGAACACGCGCGCACTCCAACACTGTCAAACTCCATCCTCTTACCGTAGTGGCTCGCGCCGGCAGCTCCATCAGTTTGTGCGCGCTCACTGCGCTGTAATTCCACGGGGAAAGAGAGTCACTGACCGCGGTGCTGTTGGCCACTTGAGTGGGGATCCCCATGCTAAGCGAGCGCGACGCGTTCATCGCGCGCGGGGACAAGAGCTCAGAGTTCGTGCGTAAAAAGAGTTTGCCTAAATGTCAGAAATAGCATTACTATATAAGAAGATCTTCCTCTGCCTTTCTCTGTCCGCAACCTAGAGCTGAGCTGTCAACTGCGCCCGACATGAGTGTGTGTGATGAGTTTGTCAATGCCAGTAACCATGTGCCGATTCCAGTACGCATGAGGAGTGATGTTCAGTTAAGCAAACTCAAACATCCCACATGCAACCCAACAGCCCTGTGCTAAAGCCCTTCATAATCACACTGAGCGTGAGCCTCATGTGTTAGTGTGTGCCCGTTTGCCCCATATGTGTTTATGTGCCAGCAGGACGTTCATATCAATAGGCTAAATGTAAAGAAGCTGCACATGCTCAGTCATGCTCGCTGTTCTGTCTCTCTCTCTCTCACTCTCTCTATCTTTCTCTTTCTGAAACCAACATCCAGTTCAGATTCAGAAACAGCCTTAATTAACAGTCAGTTAGCAGCAGACACACATATAAAATGCTGATTAAAGAGTGTGAAGCCCAGAGCTCACAATTAAAATGTTAGAAACAAATACAGCCTACTAAAACATGATATTATATTATATTATATTATATTATATTATATTATATTATATTATATTATATTATATTATATTATATTATTATACACTCACCGACCACTTTGTTAGGTACAACTCTCCAACTACTCTTTAATGCAAATTAATCAACCAATCGCATGGCAGCAACTCAATGCATTTTGGCATGTAGACATGGTCAAAATGATCTGCTGCAGTTCAAACCGAGCACCAGAATGGGGAATATGGTTTTTGCTGTCAGACGGGTTGGTCTGAATATTTCAAAAACTGCTGATCTACTGAGATTTTCACGCACAACCATCTCTAGAGTTTACACAGAATGGTCTGAATATATCACATGAAAATTGCAGAGATATTGCCTGGCCTGATGAGTTAAATTTTTTGCTGGGACATTCAGATGGTAGGGTCAGAGTTTGGCATCAACAACATGAAAACATGGATCCATCATGCCTTGTATCAATGGTTCAGGCTAGTAGTGGTGGTGTAATGGTGTGGCAGATATTTTCTTGGCACACTTTGTGCCTATAATTACTGATTGAGCATCATGTCAACGCCACAGCCTACCTGAGTATTGTTGCAGCCCATGTCCGTCCCTTTATGACCACAGCGTATCTTCTGATAGCTACTTCCAGAACTCAATCCAATAGAGCACCTTTGGGATGTGGTGGAACGGGAGACTTACATAATGGATGTGCAGCTGACAATTTGCAGCAACTGCGTGATGCTATCATGTCAAGTCAATATGGACCAAAATCTCTGAGGAATATTTCTAGTACCTAGTTGAATCTATGCCACACAGGATTAAGGCAGTTCTGAAGGCAAAAGGGGGTTCAACCCGCTACTAGTAAGGTGTACCTAATAAAGTGGCCGGTGAGTGTATTATATTATATTATATTATATTATATTATATTATATTATATTATATTATATTATATTATATTATATTATATTATATTATATTATATTATATTATACATTTTCGGTACAGTTTAAACATATTTCTTGTACAATAATGGCAAATAATCTGTGTATTTTGAACACTGGAGGCATTTCTGAGAGGAAGTACACAAATATGGGTCATTACTAACAAAGAACAGCTTTGTTTTTCAAGCAATAAAAAAAATATTTTACGTACAATCTACTGTTATACAAGCTTTTTGTGCGTAAGGTGCTTGTCACTGCGTCCTCAGGACCTATCCTCTTACTTCAGTATCATGAGACACATTGCCCAATGCATGGACAAATCCCAGCAAATCTAGCTGGAATGCATTGCAATTGAAAGCCACTCTGTAGAACAGTACCATGGTGAAGTAAAGTGTATGCCTTTCACTGGTATGGATTTTTGAAAACTTTTATCAGACATTAAAAAAAGCAATTACGGAGCAGATGTCAGGTGATATAACCCTGACTTGTGACCTCTGACTTGTGACCTCTGCTAAATAGAGAACAATTAACCCAGCACTGAAATATTGTCTAAAGCCTGGCCTTGAGTCTAGTAGTGAGGTCAATCTTTGGTGCATTTCTCTCATTGCTATCTATTTTTTTTTTCATCAAAAGCAGTGTTGAGTACGAGTTGCTTCTGCTTTGAGAAACTAGTGCACCAAAGAGCAAATATGAAGACCGGCAGTCATAAGATTGTAAATAATCACATGTAGCCTCGATGGCTATGGGAAACGTTTTTTTTTTTTTCCATTTTTTTTTTTTTTTTTTGTCTTTCCAATGATTTACAGCATTGGTTTTGTTAATGGGAAAGTTCAACCAGAAAAAAAAGTCAAGTTGTTTCCAAATATGGGTCAAAGACACCCCATTCATGGTGTCTGCATCAAATTAAATTAACAAAAGTGATTTTGTGAACTTAGGGCAGATGTTAAATGCAACTATCATGTATTAAACAACTTATGAAAGGTCAATTTATTGGTGAAATAATTTGAATCTTCATTCAGTCTAATAGACATATTTGTGTATAGAACCAGAACCCGAATAGAACCAGAATTCTTAATATGGCATGTGCTCATTAAAATATAAAGCAATTAAGAAGGACAGGACACATAAGCCCCTTTCACACAGTGATACCAGGGAAAAAAAAAAAAAAAAAAAAACAGAACAGGCTACACAGTGGCGCAGTAGGTAGTGCTGTCGCCTCACAGCAAGAAGGTTGCTGGGTCACTGGTTTGAACCTTGGCTCATTTGGCATTTCAGTGTGGAGTTTGCATGTTCTCCCTGCGTTTGCTTGGGTTTCCACAGTCCAAAGACATGCGGTACAGGTGAATTGGGTAGGCTCAATTGTCCGTAGTGTGTGTGTGGATGTTTCCCAGAGATGGGTTGCGGCTGGAAGGGCATCCGCTGTGTAAAAACGTGCTGGATAAGTTAGCGGTTTATTCCGCTGTGGCAACCCTGGATTAATAAAGGCACCGAGCCGACAAGAAAATGAATAAATGAACGAATGAATTAATTAACTTCCAGAACAACTTTTTTCAGTAAATTCAAAAAAGTGCTGTTCACACAGGCAAGGACATTACATAATTTTTTCTGGAAAAGACACATCCATTCACACATCCATTCCAAAATACTGGTAAATTCTGACATTATTAAACAGAAATTATCTCTAAACGGCTGCGCTTGTATTTGCAAACATTTGACTACATTACAAACTCTGTGAAAGGATAAGTATTGTGAACAAATTTGATGAAAACATATGGAGGAACACTTTCCCATGTCGAAATGTATATATTATGAGTGTGCTGGCGCTCATCGGCTGCTTCACATGCACACGTGTAAACAGCGGTTTACTATAGGCATTTTATCGAAAATTTTGTCTGCAGTTGGCTTTAAGAAGAAACATAGAATCGCTATCTGACATCTAGCAGCTAAATGTGTCTGGAAAAATATAAGGCTTTTATTTTCATAAACAGCATGGATGTAAATGTGTCTGAGTGTTCTGATTGGCTGAAGTACACATCTCACATCAGCATGTTCTAATCGTGAACATGCTCTTTCCAGCAATTTTCCTTCTGCGTTCACACAGAGCAGCACTCAAAAAAAACTGGTAATGTTATAACTTCTCTTTCCGGAACATTGCCGGATTGAATTTACCTGTATTTTCAAAAAGGGCCTGATCACACATACAGTACAGACCTTTCCATAAAATTGCCGGTAATTTTCCAGAAAGGTCTGTATGTGTGAAAGGGGCTAACAACCAATTAACAAAGCCTGACTTCTAATCAAAGGATTGGTTTACCCAAAAATAATTCTGTTATTAAATACTAACCTTTATGTCGTTTCAAAACCCTAAGAGCTTCGTTCATCTTCAGAAAACAAATTAAGATATCTCAATTCAAGAGCTTTCTGACCTACCATTGATATCAGTAGTCCAGAAGACACTTAAAGTCCAGAAAAAGAAACAAATACACTGTCAGAACATTCCATGTCATTCAGTGGTTCAACTGCAATCATACAAATCTCCAAGAATACTTTTTTGTATGCCAAAAAACTTATGTATATATGTATGTATGAAGTTTTTTATAATAGAGTCGTAAACCATTGAAGTGTTTTGTTGCAGATGTTATTATAATTATTATTATTCCAGTGCGTGAATTAAGATGTCAGATAAGACCCAAATGCCGTCTTAAGACACAGCCTAAAGGCTCCTAAATCCTCCATTGCTTTTGACATTTTAGGTATAAAAACTCACTGGAGATTCCTGCAGGAAAATGTCACCAAGTCATAAATAACTGTTGTGCTTTAAGCCAGCAAAGACTGAAAGCTACTTTTAGTTTATAATACCCAGATCAATACAGAGGTCAATTGAGTTTGGTTTAAAAAAAGAAAAGTCTTTTATTAACAGCATGTAACTAAAGCATAACTAACAAGCAGCAAAGCTTGAGCTTGATGATAAAACTCACTGTTAAAGAGAGATGAATTGGAAGTATGACTGCAAGTCTAAAAAGTTTATACACTGATTTATTGGTTGCTTACTTTTTTTCAAGAGTAGGTGGTGCTATCAACAGAAGTATAGTCAAAGACAGTCAAAGACAGAGGATGTGTCCCATTTCAAGAGTTCACACTTATCTCATAACTTACAAAAGATTGTTTGGCATGCTGTCCCAGGAGAGAGCCCTGAGCTCAAGGGATCCTCGAGTCCAGGGCTCCCTCCCTTTGCAGGGCGAGGGGAGATTGAGCTTGGACTATCTCAAAACTCTCCCGCAGCTAAGGCCAAGGTGAACTTCCTGAGAGCGAGACGTCTAAAAGTGTGAGTGCTCTGAATTGGGCTCAGGGCTGAGCGCGGTTCACTTGGGCTTGGGCTTTGTGAGTGCAAAACGCGCCTAAGCCCGAAACTGAAAGCGAGACGTGACTTTTAAGGGACTGTTTCATATGGATTAATTAATCATTCTTACTGTTCAGTGAACGCAAACTGTCATGGATTATTAAAGATTAGGGTTGGGCATCTAAGCTATAATGCCGATCCGATACGCATCTCGATACAAAGAATACGATCCGATATATTAGCGATACATTTGTGACATATTGCGATGCAACACGATACGATTCACACCCATATCACGATACGATGCGATATTTCAGCACTAACTAATTAGATCAAGTTTATGAGATGATGTGAAAGAGGATGCTGTGCCATTGAATGAGTTTGATTATTTATAAACCAAGCAAAACCAAGACTTTTTTTTTACAAACTGGCTCTTCTCTCAGAGCCAGAGTGTCAGTTTACAGTAGAGGGCCATTTTAGAACCTATAGCACATATTATTTAAGTATTTTCAAGATAAACAGAATGTATAAGTGCAATATATATTAAAAAAATATGTATATATTTGCACTCTTTCAACATAAATAAATTTAGCATTGCACAACA